TGCCACAGATAAAAGGGGTTTGTGGCTGCACAGTGACCTCTGTGTCCGTTCGAAGAAGTGCAGCAGCCATCAAGCAAAACAGAGCTGTGAGTGTACAGCCAAGGAAGATGCCAAGGATTTTCAGAGACTCAGCTGCAACAGGAGGAATTGTAAATACTGAAAAAGGGTAAGAACACCTGCATTCATTCTGCATGCAAGAGGGGTTGTTGCTGAACTGAAGACCTTTCTTATATTCTAAAAAGTGATGCCTTTGTTTGGGGTATCTTCATCTATCTAGTCCAGTCTAACATAGTCTGTTATTTGTGAATAGATCACACCAGGTAAGCTACACTGATGATCAAAGCTCACCTCTTTCAAATATTAATCTGGGCTTCTGGCTTTGTACACTGTGTAGATCTTAAGTACGAATTTTGGCTCGAGATCCAAAACAGTCCAAGGATTGCCAAGAACTGAAAGGCTGGCTATATTGCATAACCTAAACTCACCTGAAAGAAGCAGACTGATGGCATCGCTTTTGGAGTTCAATTCCCAATTAATAAGAAGGTTTAACACCTAGTGATCAATCTTTATTGCCCTGAAATGCACTGGGGAAAGAACTTGATCAAAACCAGTTAAAGCAACTGTTTCCACCTGTGTGGATAGTACAAGGGGATACAAAGTTACAGCCCCTGTTTCAGTCCTAAATTCCAGCCAGGTTTGTGAAGAAACAAGCTGATCATAGGCATATCATGCATCCTCGCTCCTAATGCCGGGAGCTGCACTGGGGAAGGGGACACTGGGCACAGACTGTCCTGACAGCCTCTCTGCAGCGCCAGGGCTTGTTCAGTCATTTAGTCTTCAATTTTCCAGTTTCTCTCTACCAGGATATATGTTTATATTCTTAGGAGGCCCTCCCCTGCACTCAGCAAATGATGTAAAATATCACCACTACTATGTGACTTTCACAGCCTTTTACAAGGGTTAGAAGAACACATTGGTGCCGTCCCTTATGTCACAGCCCAGCATCACCGCTCTTCCTCCAGCCTCACTTCTCATTTATTTCCACTGGTTGCATTTTCCAGGAGACTTAGCTGCAGGCAGGATCTCCTCCCTTTTCTTACAGCTCGATGGGAGTTGCCACAGTGGGCTGAAAATGTACTGTTTACTTAGGGAAAGAATGGCATAGTGTCAGCTGTCATGTGGCATTTTAATCCAAGACACAATTAGTTTAGCACAGTCATATCCAGATGCTAATACTTGATGAAAGTAACACTGCAATAATTCACAACTAGCTGAGGTGTGGCTTCCATGAGAAAGGCTTCTCGTGACACTCTGCACACACCTGCCTAGAAAATCCTCCTCGAACACTATTAAAAGACTCGTCTATAAAAGCACAGGATTTCCATCAGTCCTTGGGGACTTACACATCCCCAAAGATGAGGTGCGCTGTCAGGAAAACCTGTCACATCATTTTGGATGTCAGTCAGCAACTAAAAAGGTGGAGGAAGGGAGGTACCACCGTTTTAACCTACTACTCTGGAACATATTAACTCTAGCTAGATGCAAGAAGTGCTTGAAGAGGCTGCCTGCACAGAAAGCCAACTAAAATATTGCTAACTTAGTCCTGGGATTTATTCAGTTTTCTGAGTTTAAATCAGTTTTAGAAGCAACTCAAGTGAAAAGGATGCAAAACCTTTTCGACACTTCTAGTCTCATTTAAAGCTTGATGAGCTTGATACTGATTTAGCTTAACTCCACATCAAACTGGTGTTCACACAGGAGTCTATTTAACAGATGCATTTTTAAATAGTATCTCACATTTCACAATTGCAACTCTTAACATAGACCTACAGGCAAAACAACCTGAAGGTCCATCTACCTTCACATTGTGTTAAAGGATTTCTGCCCCGACTCCAGTAAAGGGATGAAACAATGAATTTGTAAGAGGTTTCCACACTACTGTAGAAATATTCATTTTTCTAGAGCAGTCTCTTCAAAATAAAACCAAATTGAAGCACACCTACTAACTGGATGTTTTTAGCTGCACATTACACTATGTAGAAGGAGCCAAATGTTCCCCTGTCACTCAACCCACTGCTAAAGATGTAAGTTGCTCTTTTTCTACTGTGGTTTGTAAAAAGAGGGGCTATCTTTTATCAGGCCAGATGTCACTGAGAAAAAAAAGACAGATAAGCTTTTGGGCAGAAGCCCCTTCTTCAGGCCTGAAACAGCAACGGTATTCTTGAAGGTGAAAAACAGCAGAGAATGACTTATATATTTCATTAGATTATGTAAGCAGGTAGACCATCTGAAAAAAAAGGGCACTGATATCTGGAGCAAAGGAAGGAAGAGCAGGGGAGGAGATAAAACAGGAGCTCCTCTGGCACACACAAAGAAAGCAATGAGTAATTTACTGCCTGAGGATGGTGAGGGACAGGGAATTGTATGCTGTGCCCTGGTGTCTCTGTCAAGTCCAAGATCATTATCAGCACTAAGCGTTTTAGGTCCCATGATGTCTTTTGAAGGTAGTTTAGCAATGTCCCCTAAGAATCAGGGTTCAAGTGAGGTCTGGATTTATTTCAACTGTGATGGGCTGCTGCAGAAAAGGATGTCCAAAGGGGGAAAAAAGGTCTAGGAATTACTGTCCTTCTGCCTTTCATCTCGACCCTGACTGCTGGGCTAAATCTCACTTATCCTTGGAAAAATATACCTGCTCCAAAAATCAACCACCCCTGTCACAAGTGCAGAAGCGGTGTCTCTGAACACACCCAACTTGATTTACCTGAGGGAGTAATAACAGAAAGAGTCTAATGGCTTCTTAATTGTTTGCCCATTTGAAAAGCATCACTTATTTGGAGAAGGTGCAGCACCCAGTACAGTGAATGAATGTCCATGTCCCAGTGTCACTGCCCTTGTAAGGGGTCTGGAGCCCCTCAGCAGTGTGTGAGCAGGGCTCACATTGTGGCAGTCTGTCCAGATGATGGAGATCACGATGAGGAGGCAGCAGCTGGAGGCGGCCAGGACAGCAGACACACACACACACATGCACACACCTGCCAGGCTGCCCATGGAGGTGACACCCGGGCTCTGGTGGGACACGGGCAGCAGTACTTCCCCAGGGTGTCTGGGAAAGACTGGGAGCACTTCTCCTTGGAAAGTCAATGTGTAGGGATAGGTACAATTTCAGAAGAATTTGTGATGGAAAGCTAGAACTTGATTTCGCTTAGGAAGACTGTAAAATGCCTTCTCAAATGGGTTAGATGTGGGGTTTTTTCCTTCCTTCTGCATTTCAGAGAAAGTTGCAGGAATAAGCTGTGATCAATCTTTCTCTCTCCCTGGTATGCAGAGAGATAACATGTTTGCAGGCATGTACAAGGCCTCCTCGGGCCAGAGAGGGTGGGGGAGGAGAGAGAAAAGATACAAAAAGCCTTGGAGAAGGCGGGGCATTGCCTTTTTCCCTAGGGGCCCGGTATGTGCAACATCGTTAAGAAGTGGTCCTTGCATCTGAAATAAACCTTTTTTTAATCCTTCCACTGCCTTGGCATTCTTGTTTTACCTTACAGTATTTATGAGCATGCCTATGTTAAATGGGAAACTGGTTTGGAATATGGGGATGCAAAGATGTTTTATAATACCACAGAAAGAAAAGAGAGTAATTCTCTCCCTGGAAAAAAAATTGAGGAAAAAGTGAATGCATAGATATGCCCAAAAGCTGCTTCCATTTTGCACCAACTGGAAAAAAAGAAAATGTAAATGTGATCAGCCCAGCTCAGTGACTGTGTAATGAGAAATGGGCCAGGGATGAGACATCCCAGAAACATCACAAGAAGCTAGACAAAAAGAAAAGTGTTACCGAGAGGTTAAAAGATTAGAAGAAAGAGGAAAATTGGTGTTGAAACCCATGAAATGCAAGGACAGGTGATGAGGGAGAGGCACCAGCCCTGCTCTGGCATGGGGCAGGACTGGCTGCTCTTCAGAGGTCCCTGCCAGCCCTGACCCCTTCTGACTTGGGAAGGATGAAACCCCCTTTCCCATTTTGCAAGTTGAATATGAGTCAGCAGTGCCCTGGCAGCCAGGAGGGTCAACCATGTCCTGGGGGACATCAGGCAAAGCATCACCAGCCGGTCAAGGGAGGGGATTGTCCCACTCTACTCTGCATTGGGGCAGTCTCACCTTTAATATTATGTGCAGTTTTGGGCACCGCAATGTAAGAAAGATATTAGGCTGTTAGAGAGGGTCCAAATGAGGGCAATTAGGATGGTGAAGGGCCTTGAGGGGAAACCGTATGAGGAGCGGCTGAGGTCACTTGGTCTGTTCAGCCTGGAGAAGAGTGAGGGGAGACCTCATTGCAGTCTACAACTTCCTCACGAGGGGGAGAGGAGGGGCAGGTACTGATCTCTTCTCTGTGGTGACCAGTGACAGGACCCGAGGGGATGGCCTGAAGTTGTGTCAGGGGAGGTTTAGGTTGGATATTAGAAAAAGGGTTCTTCACCCAGAGGGTAGTTGGGCACTGGAACAGGCTCCTCAGGGAAGGGGTCACAGCATCAAGCCTGAGAGTTCAACAAGCATTTAGACGATGCTCACAGGCACATGGTGGGATTCTTGGGGATGGTCCTGTGCGGGGCTAAGGGTTGGACTCCGATGATCCTGATGGGTCCCTTCCAACTTAGCATATTCTGTAATTCTATGATTTTTTGAGATGAGGTCTCACAGAGCTCCCTGCCCTCCTTGGCACACCCTGCCAGGCACGGCAGCCCTTTTTGGAAGGGTCCTCACCTGCTCCACCACCGCAATACGCGGCAAAGGATTCGGAGGTCCCCTGGGCGGCACCGAAGCAGAGGTGGGGAATCCCACACCAGCCTCCCCTGTGGAGCGGAGGCGCTGCGGAGGAGCAGGCGAGGTGGATGCCGCGGTTCTCCCAGCCGGCGCTGCGGGAGCGTCCGAGGCCGTGTCCCCCTCCCAGGGCGGTCCCGGGAGCGGCCGCGCGGGGGCGCCCCCCGCAGCGGGGCGGGGCCATGCGCAGTGCGCGTGCGCGGTGACGCGCGGGGCCGTGCCCGCTATATGAGCCCCGGCAGGCGCTGACTCGGCCTTTTCCGCCCCGCTCCCGCCCCGCGCCCGGGTCGCTGCGCTGAGACCCCGCGCCCCCGCCGCCCCCCCGCCGCCGCCATGATCATCTACCGGGACTGCATCAGCCGTAAGGGCGCGGGGGGGGGGCTAGAGGGGCGCGGCGCGGCCGGGAGCGGCGGTCGGGCGGGTGCGCGGGGTGGGGGGGAGAGCGGGCCGGGCCCGGGCGCCGGGCCTGGCGGTGCCGCCGCGCATGTGCGATGCGGGGCCAGGCGGGGGGGGCGCGGGGGCCGGAGCGGGCCGGGCGGGGGTGCGGGCAGGCAGGGGCTGACCCTGTGTATGCGTGTATGCGTGTCCCCGCAGAGGACGAGATGTTCTCGGACATCTACAAGATCCGGGAGGTGGCGGACGGCCTGTGCCTGGAAGTGGAGGGGAAGGTGAGTGCCCGCCCGCCCCGAGGGAGGGAGGGAGCGGGGCAGGGATGCTGCGGTGACTCTTGGCCGGTGGGGAGCGGGGATGGCGTCCCTGCGAGGGGCCCGAGGGAGGGGTGACCCACCACGGCCCGGTGCCTGTGCCGGGGCAGGGCTGGCTGCTACCCCGGGTGGTGCCTGAGAGAGCCCGGGTCAACCAGGCTGGAGTGTAATGGAGCCTGGGTCAGGCACCAGGAGAGGCGTCTGGCATGGCAGCCACAAAATCATAGAATGGATTGGGTTGGAAAGGACCTTAAAGATCATCTAGTTACACCCCCCTACCATGGGCAGGGATGCCTTTTGCTAGACCAGGTTGCTGAAAGCGCCATCCAACCTGGCCTTGAACACTTCTGGGGGTGGGGCATTCACAGCTTCTGTGGGCAACCTGTGTCAGTGCCTTACCACCCTCACAGTAAAGAATTTCTTCCTAGTGTCTAATCTAAACCTGTCTTTCAATTTGGACCTGTTCCCCCTTCTCTGGGAGATTAGTGCTTAGGCTGCAGTCAGGTTCCTTGCACTGATCTGTGGCTCTGGAGTCATGTCCTGCTCTCAAGTCATAGGTGTGTAAGAGTGGTAGCATTAAGGTTTTTTGCAGAGCCGTTAAGTTTTTTGATGTCTCTAAATCCAGATGGTCACCAGGACAGAGGGTCAAATTGATGACTCTCTAATTGGTGGCAATGCCTCTGCTGAAGGTCCAGAGGGAGATGGAACAGAAGCCACGGTCATAACTGGTGTTGATATAGTAATTAACCACCACCTTCAGGAGACCAGCTTCACAAAAGAATCCTACAAGAAGTACATCAAGGATTACATGAAAGCGTAAGTGTTGGTAGGCTTTTCCTTTGAATGGGATTACAGAGTTTTTGCATGGTTGAGATTTTAAAAACAGCATTGGACATATTCCTAGTAGGTGTTAGTTCTGATACAGGTGTGAAACTGGCTGTAAACTTCAGCAATGTCTGAATACTTGGCAGAACTGGAGCTCCAGAGATTGATGCTGGAATATCTGGGTTTATCTTGGCTGAGGTAGAGGACCTGATCACATGCTTTAGATCTAGTTTGTAACCTTGCTGTTTTCTTCTGTATTTTTTTTATGACAAACCTTCCTGTGGATGGGAGTGAGGTGGTAAAGAAAAGCTTTCTGAAGCTTTTCTAAATTGGCAAATATCTAACAAATGTGTGTGAATGGGACTTTTTGCTAATTCAAGATGTACTTTCTGTTCAGTGGATTGCTACTAAAGGTGAAAACTTTTTGTGACACTGATAGAAAGTGTTCTTGGTGCTGTGGAAATGACTTGCTGATTTTTGTCTACGACTAGCCTAGAAGTAAAATGACCCTGATACGAGTGGCAGGCACTGTTCTGCTATTTCACTAGCAAAATTAAATTTAAATTTGGGAGCTTTGAAAGGGAGTGGGGGGAAAGCAAAATTAAAGTTTGATAGTAACTGTTTCTGCTATGATGTGGCTTTACACAATGAAGTTAAACTAGAATATGTTTTCAGAGTTTTGATATTTTTTTCCCCCCTCCAGAATCAAAGCCAGACTTGAGGAACACAAGCCAGAGAGAGTAAAGCCTTTCATGACAGGGGCTGCAGAACAAATCAAACACATCCTTGCCAACTTCAAAAACTACCAGGTAACTTGTCTCCTTACCGTAGTATTGCAGTGTTACAAGCTGATTCACCTACTGAACTGGCTTGTTGAGGATTTTGAGTGCTCCTGTTGTGAGGATGTCTAACTTGCTCTTCTCTGAGACTTAGGGAGAAGAAACAGCAAAAGGGTGTTAGGTGTTTGGGGATCTCATTTCAGCTCATAATGCTTGTAGTTAGCTTGTAGTTGTTATTGTGGTTTAGGGACTGTGGAGTTAAGACTTGAAGTGTGGATCACTTTGGCCCTTGCTGAGTCTTACACTGTTCATAGCAGTGTGGTAAAATTATAGAATCACAGAATGGTTTGATTTGGAAAGGATCATCTAATTCCAATCCCCATGCCATGGGCAGGGACACCTTTCCCTAGACTAGGTTGCTCATAACCCCATCCAACCTGCCCTTGAACATTTCCAGGGACGGGGCATCCACAGCTTCTCTGGACAACCTGGGTCTATGCCTCCCACCTTTTACTTAAGAATTTCTTCGTAATATATAATCTAAATTTGCCCTCTTTCAAGCCACTCTCCCTTGTCCTATTGCAATGTGGCTTTGTAAAAAGTCCCTCTCCAGACTTTCTGTAGCCCCCTTTAGGTACTGGAATGCTGCTTTGAAGTCTGCCTGGAACATTCTCTTATCCAGGCTGAACAACCCCAGTTCTGTTAGCCTGTCTTCACAGGAGTGGTGCTCCAGCCTTCATCGTTTGGCCATCCTGGACTTGCTCCAACAAGTCCACATCCTTCTTACCTTGGGATCCCAGCTCCAGAGCTGGATGCAGCACTCCAGGTGGGGTCTCACCAGAGCAGAGGGACAGAATCACCTCCCTCAACCTGCTAGCCGTGCTCCTTTTGGTGCAGCCCAGGATAGTTGAATTCCTGGGCTGTGAGTGCATATTGCTGGATCATGTTGAGCTTTCTGTCAGCAGTACCCCAGATCTTTCTCCTCAGAGCTTCTGTCATACCATTCTCTGCCCAGCCTGTGTTTGTGCTCAGGATTGCCCTGATCCAGATGTACGACCTTGCACTTGGCATTGTTGAACTTGATGAGGTTCCTATGAGCTCACCTCTCAAGCCTGTTCCTTTGGATAGCATCCTTTCCCTCCTGTGGTACTAAAATGGGCAAGCTGTGGAGAGCAAAATCCCTGCAGCTGGTCAGGGAGACTTTTAACCTGAACTTAGTGACTTTGTACTGTTCTTGTATAAAAATGCATTTTCTCCTGGTAATACCTGATTAAATGTCTCAGTAACACATTGCTTTGAAGTTCTTTGTAGGAGAGAACATGAATCCAGATGGTATGGTGGCTCTCCTGGACTTCCGTGAGGATGGTGTAACCCCATATATGATTTTCTTTAAGGACGGCTTAGAAATCGAGAAGTGTGTAAGTACTGCCCTGAATTGGGTGAATGTGCCTAACTACATGATGAGCTCCTTCAGTGCAGCACTTGTTCTCTCTTATCCCTGTGTAAGTTGAACAGTAGCCATGAGTTTAAAAACTTAGAAGTCTGTGTACCAGCCTATTTGGTGCTTCATATGCAAAGTGCCTGAAACTTCCCTTGAATGCTATTAGCTTGTACTAAACGGGATGTAGTGTCACAGGAGTGATTCATGGTGACTTAATGGCTAAGGAATGCAGAAGGAATTGCCTTGGCAAGATGTGTGTAATTGGGAATGGTTTTAAACTATTAGATGAAAGACAGTGTGCTCTGATATGAAGCACTTGTAGTTCAGATCCCTCTGATGGGGTTTAATTGTGCACTGCTTTGCTTGGTCACGTTCCTTAATCTGATGCCCTTATTTTTTTATGCAAGAACTGTCAGTTTAAATGTTGCCCTAAATTTTGGAACACAGTAATACTTGATCAAGTATTTAACCTTATTCTCTCTGGAATCTCCAACTACCTGAGCTCAAGACAGCTCCTGTGGTCTACTTTAACTACTCTATATTGGAATGTGGTTGCAACAAAACAATATTTGGCTCCCAACACTTGTGTTCTTTTGCTTATTTGGAGAACTGTGGAATTAAGTGCAGTGTGGGATCACCCGTTGCTTTGCCCAGTCATTGTGGACTTATGAAGTCTGTTAATAGCCAGCTAAATTTATCTGTAAAGCCTCTTAAAAACTTTCTGGTATGCAAATCATGTAAAGATGAGCCAGCTTGTAGTGTGGAGCAGTAGGCAAACTAAGGAATGCTTTTATTGGCCAAAACAGACCTGGCACCTCCCGCAACCTGATGGAATGGTGATGTTTGTCCTGGGCCCTAGAACAGGCCAGACCTAGAAGGCACCTCCTTGGGAGCAGGAGCTTGTGTGCATCTTTTCTACGGGGCACACCTTTTGGATGTGCAATTTGGGTAACCTACATCTGCTTCAAGATAGAGTAAAAGAATATTGACAGGATATTCCAGTTTTAAGAGAGTACATTGTATGCTTTGGTACTTGTTTAGGAAAGGGTATGAATGAGTATTCTGTCCAGCTTGCTCAGCAGCTGATTGGTGCCAGGTGCTCTGTATGATTGTAAAAGTGATCAGCATCCTCTGATAGACCATGGGCACTTTTCCTGTTGCTCTCTGGTTTGCACTAAGATGCAAAACCAATTTCCTTGCGCTTTCTGCCTGCCTGACTGTGGCAGCCCAGATTGAATTAGGGAAAACACAAATAAGTTGTAGGAATTTACTGTGACTGTGGTGACCCTTGAGCTAACACTTGCTACTCTTGTTTCAGTAACAAATCAAACAGTATGGTTTTGGATCACTTGTCTTCATAGCTGGCTGCTGTTTCTTCTTCATCGGCACACCACCAGGAATCGGCAATGTCTAACAACTGGACTGATGTCATCTTGAGCTTTATTCACTTATTTTGACCCTGATTTGGAGTGGAGGCATTGTTTTGAAAAACAAAAAAAACATCTATCATGTAGGTTGTCTAAAATAAAACTCATTTAAACCCATTCTAGGTAATGTCTTTTGGTCTGATGTGTTTCTTAAGGTGACTCACAGGAGAGAGTGCGCCAGGGATTTGGTACTTTCAGTAGCATAGCCTGGTGCTAGTGTGCTACAGCTGGACTGTTTCCAGACAGATTTCACAGTTTGCCTGTGGCTCTGGAGTGCAAGAGAAGGCTGAGGTCAATAAGGCAAAGTCCAAGAAATGTCATAATGGAATGAACCACCTTCATCTTTCATGATTGCACAGACTTATCTCTGGAAAAAAAAAAGAAATAATAATAAAATCCCAGAACGGAATATGTGCTATTCAAACTGAGTGCTGCCTGAACTTCTTTGTCAGACAAGAATACTCGAGTTTGTCCTCAGTTCTGGTATGGCTCCAAGATCAAGGTAGGAGGATGACTGGAGGGAGCAGGAGTCTTAACACCGGCACTCTCTGAGCCTAGGTACTGGGAACGTGGGGAGAGGGTGAAATGACTAGGTTTTCTAACACAGCCTGGCTGTGGTACTGGCTCCTTTGTCCCTTCAACAGCTGTCAAATACAATGTTAACTGGAGCTCTGTCGAGTTGCAGGATTTGAGGGGTTTCTGTATTTGACCTCCTGGAGAGAGCTGTTGGAATGGCCTAGCCCTGGACTTCCTGCAAACCAGGCGCACCTCTGCTTGAGACCTGAGTGTTTATAAAATACTGTTCCTGCTGTATTCCTTGTTACGAAATGCATCTGTTTGACAGACCTGGAGCAAACGGCCGTTGCTTCTCTGGTTCTTTCTGAGATGCAACAGTAAAAGGTTCCTTGCGCTTTCTACCTGTCCAACCCTGTGGCAGTTTGGATTGAATAAAGGAACACAAATGCCTTCACAGCCCTGGCTGTCGCTGCTGACTGTGCCTGACCAGGGATGTTGCCTTGAACTGCAAATGATTAACTTTTTTCCTACTGCAGCAATGGCAGAGGCATAGGAGGCTAAGGTGCCTGAAAGGGGAGGGCATAGCCCACTCACCAGCTGTGAGTTTTTGCATCTTCGCTGTCTTGTGTCAGTTTTTGGCCCCTGGTACTGTAGGGTGGAGGTGGAGGTACGTTTCTGCAGAGGTGAGATAGATGTGGCAGCAGGCTGGGAGGAGTGAGAGACTGGAGGAGGGAGTGGAGTGTGCCCTAGTTATCTCTGAGGTTCCTGCCTGGTTAAATACATCCTATTTTAGTTCTCTGGGAACTTAAATTTTTTTTTTTTTTTTTTTTTTTTTTTTTTTTTTTTTTTAGCTTTCCCAAGAAACAATCTTGGGCCAGCTGAGCTTCTGGATGAGGTACAATTATGGTGTAATCTGCCTTCACTGAATGGGGCTGAAAGACAGGGAGGCAGGTTCAAAGCCTAGATTAAATCACTGGGTTGTCTCTTGCTTTCCTTGCAGAGGATTTGTTTAATGGGACCAGGTGAGGATGTTATCTTTCCTGTTGCATCTTTGTTAAAAACTGGGAGGATTAAAGGAAAGGGAGAGGAAACAGGTGCTTAGTTGAGCTTCTCAGTTGAGCTGAAGTTAGTGTAGGCAGGGCAGTGCTGGTATGGCTGTGCAGCCCCTAATAGCCCTGGCTCCCATTTCCAGTGAATCATGTTTAAAACTGCGAGGAGCTGATATGTGGGAGTAGAAATGGCTCCTCCCCCTTCCTGGCTGGTTATACCGAGGCTGGGAGCTCTGGGCACCAGCCCGGAGCAAATTGCCACATGGCACCTGTGTACAGCTGAGGTGCTGCTTTGAAAAGCAGGTGCTTCAAACCATGATGAGCACAGCCTTGCTGTTTGGTTGAATGGCAAATTGTGTGTCATCCTATCTGTCTTCCAGGCTAATTGGGGTATTTAATTGGTGTGGGCAAACATACCTAACTAGAGGGTTCTGTGCTCCAAGCAGTCTTGTGTGCTTTTCTGCACAGCAGAGCCTCTGATGGGAAGTCTTCCAGCCTGCTGTAAGGAAGTGTCAGTTCAAAGGCTGTGGAGATGAAGGACGTGGTTATGTTTGTTTTCTTCAGTGAGCTGCAAGAGGAGTGGTTTTGCTGCTTGTTGCACTTGCTGCACTTCTCAAAAACGTATTGCTGCCTTCAGTTTCTCAGGGAAAAGGGCAAGTCCTGCTGTTCTGCAGTGTCAAGTTTGTCAGTCATCTGGGAGAAGAGGTTAAACCACAATCAATGGCAGGGAAGGATCATGGCCATGACAAGTAGCTGTGGCAGTAACAAGCAGCTGTCGCAGCCACAGTGCTGTGGTAGCTGCCTGCTGTGGAGCTTGGGTGAGGTAGGGTTGGGAGTCACTACATCCTGGTAAGTGGGAGGTCCGTGGCTGGTAAATACACTTGTCAACAGTCTGTGACGCAACTCTGAGTTGGAAAGGAAGTCAGCGTATTTCCTCATAACCCAGTTCCTCTTCTGGCCCATCTTCATTTCAAGCAGCTGTTTCCTGGGGCTGAAAAGCTGAGGTGATTTGGGAAGACAAAGCTTCATACTTCACACAACAGCTTTGGAGTTATTTAATTGCTAAAAATCCCCAATGATTACAAATGACCCTGGTGCTGCTTAAACAAAAGCCTGAACTGAAGAACAGCTTTATGCCTGTCTTGCTTTAAAATGTGCTTATCAGGGTTGTATCTTGCATTCCTGCAAGATATTTTCTGTGGCTGGAAGGGCTGTGGAACTGGGAAGGATCCAAATAGCTTTTTCCCTGTGCCTCATGGAGCAGGTTAAGCAGCTAGGTAGAAACCTTTCCCCTGCTGGCTCAGGTCTCCTGCACCCACTATGAGCTGGATGCTGACAGGGGAACAAAGGCTGATTGCTTATGAAGAGGGGAAAAAACCCCCGCCTTTTTAGTTTCATGCTTTTGTGGTGCTTGGTTAGGGGACTGATGTCTTGGGGCTGGAGGAAGCAGCTGCTGTGCTTGGCATGTGTCCCACCTTTTGCCCTCCCACCCCACTCTTCCCCCTTAGTGCCTGCTTTTGTCTCATAGTTGTTCTGCCCCATCTGGGTCTTGCCCCTTTTACAAATCCACTCTCTGCCCTCTGAAAGCAAAGAAAAACCCCCATTTCCCATGAGGCAGTAATAATGATGTTAATATCTGAATGCTGCTACAGCAGCTTGTTTCTCCTTGGCTGCCTGCTTTGAGGAGAAAAGTGTGCAGCAGATCTGGGGATGTTCATGCAGTGGAGGGAATATTTTGTGTGTGGAAGAGGCACTGGTGGGTCCCATTGCCCCCTCTTGGGTACCCAGCTGAGCCAGCCCCACTCCATCCCTTGGCTTTGCCCACTCAGCATGGGCCGGGGGTGGATGCTAAAGCCCAAGTGGGTGATGGTCCTGGAGCCTTGTGCAGCCCTCAGTTTAGGACAAGGATAGAGAACCTGCAAAAGGAAAATTTTAACTGAAAGTATTTAGGAAACATTGGTTTGGGGGGCTTTTTTTGTGGAATTTCTTTTTTTAAATTGGTTTAGCTCATGGCCAGGAGGGAATTAACATAAGCTTAAAACATGGTTGTTGTCAGAGAAATAAAATTGGACTAATTTTTTAAAAAATGGGTAAGAAAAAAATTAAAAAGCTGTAATTTGCTTTTTTTCCCTTAGCAAGTTTCTGGCTGTTGCCAGCCTGCTGCAGTCCTGGCAGTGTTTTCAGTGACAGCTCTTTAGGGAGGATGCTTTTATTTAAGAGCAATAGTATCTGCATCAAGATAGTTCTGCTTTCTCACATGCTGCTGCTGGCTTGGACCAGGTAAGACACCTCCCTCTGCTCCTGTGAACCTCCATCTATGCTTCAGCTCTGTAGCCACTTCCCTGGCTTGTGGCCAGGGAATTGTAAGCTGGGATGTTTAGCCCTGGCTCAGCCAGCCAGGAAATCTCTGTTGCTGGTAGCCCACGGTGGGAGAGCAGCAGTTAAACACTCTATTCATTTAGCTCAGAGAAAAATGTCTTGGTGGGAGGGGAAAAAAGCCCCTAACTAGCCTGAAAGTTTTTGCCATGAACAGTACAAAATCCACTGCCAAGAGCACAGCCGTGCTGGTTTGCAGTCCCTGTGTGTTGGCCGCCTTTTGGTTGAAGCTGCAGCTGGAAGCTGTTGTGCAAAGATCGCAGCCAAGTGGCTGTGGCCAGGGCTGGTGGCCTGAGGGAGCTTTTTCTTTGGGTGCCAGCAAATGCTGGCAGCCCTGCAAGTGTGTTCTGCAGGAATGCACAGGATGCCGTTGAGGATGGGCATAGCTGCTTGGTGTTTTGATCCATTAGAGCTGCATTCATCGCCTTCCACTTCAGCAGAAAGGAGCCAAACACCCTTAGAGGCCTTTTTAAGGCTATTTTGGTTGTGTGATGGCAACCTTGCCAGAGGCAGCAGCTGGATGGTGATAAAAATGCTGAGCAATTGTTCCTCTGCGGGCCTCTCTTTATCTTGGGAGCTAACAGCGGGGATCCACCTCCCCATTTCTGTGGCCAGCAGCATCAGGAAGAAGCACTGCTGGCACTTCAGAGAGCAGCCCACTTTTTTCCTATCTTCAGCTAGGTGCTGGCATGCTGGCAGCCCTGCCAAAGCGTGCAGCTGATTTTTTTTTTTTTTTTTTAATGCAGAATGTCCATAAAAGTAGATGCTCAGAAAGGTTTTAAAGATTAGCTTCTCAAAATCTTTGTTACAGACTAGTTGAGAAACAGCCCTGTAAAGCTGGATGTTCCCTCCCTGCTCACCAGGGATGCTTAGCTAGCAAAACCCCACTTGCTATTGGAATAGTCTGGTTCAAGGGCTGAGATCTATCTCCTCTACCTACACATGAGCAAGGCCCCTCCAGTCAAGGCAGGGAGGGATTATTTGCTGTCCCTGCAGCTGAGTGGTTGCTGTAGACTGCAGCCATAAAACTGCCTGCAGCTGCTGGTGCTTCCTCACACTATCCCCAAAAAGGGGTTTCATGGAGTCAGGGCAGCCCTTCACACATCGGCTTCAGATGCCCTAGCCCGGCAGCCACTTCCTGGCAGCATGTGACACACCTGTTGTGGTTGGCCTAAGAGAGCTTTAACTCCCATAAACCCACTTGATTTTTAAGTCAAATGAGCAATATAGCAGCTGCCCACAAGTAGAAGGGTTTCATGTTCATGGCCACCTCACTGCAGGAAAGACGTGCAAAGGGAAAATATTGTGGCTGGGGGGGTTCTTGGACTGGTGGACCCTGTGTGCTTACAGCCCTTGCTGCTGGCAGCTTCTCTCATTGCTGGAGTATAAATAGCTTCTTCCCAAGGCTGGGCTTGGCCAGGTGGCAGAGGGAGGCTTTTT